GGCTGGTCGCAGAAAAGGGGAGGTTGGGGAGGGCTGAGCATCCTTTTGTGACCGTTCTCAAAAGAGTCGTCCAGACCGTTCTTGCCATCCGGGCTGTGATCCCAGCTCTCCTGGTAATCGAAGATGCCGCTGCTGTCTCTTCGCAACCTGAAAAACGGCACAAGAAAAGCTCAGTCCTCCCAGCTCCGCTCTCGGCGAGGTCTGATTTCTCACAGAGTGGGTCTGCACGAGCGGTACGGACCCCGCTCACCTGGGTTTGGGAATGACGGTGAGGCAGTCGCCGGTCTGCGCATCCCACACTCGGATCTGGCCCACGAGGCAGCAGCTGACGAGCAGCATCCCGTCGCTGGCCAGGCACTCGATGTCCTGCGAGGGGAGAACGAGGCAGAGGCCTTGGGATCCCGGCAATCGCCTCGCGGGCGGCTGAGGAACCGTGTAGATGTTAAATTTTACATCAAAACTACACAACTGGCTTGGCAACTGAGGGAAATCCCAAGGACCATGGCTTTGCCCAGAGTTCTAGATGTGCACTAAAGTGCTGCAAATCAAACAGACTCTGTCCAGCTTCAACATTCCAAATGCCACCTGATTGGATGCCCGAGCGCCTCGTTTCATCTCAGAACAGGAAGAAACATCTTTCCCCTCAAGAAAAATGAGCAAATCAAGCAGCAGCACACTTCCACGTGAACCTGTGGATGCTTTTAGCACAGGGAACAACATTTAACAGCTCAAACCTATGCATTGACTTTTGGGAAAGCAAGAAAAATGGCTCCAGGAAGCATTAAATATCATAAATATCATCATGGTACAATATCCTAATATACACACATACATATATATATAAAATTTGCCCTGGCTGTCAGCCTCCCCGGCTGCATTGCGCAAAGGCTGCCCAGCTGCTCTGTCCTTCAGGTCGGCCGTTACTTAAATAAAACCAAGTAAAACAGAAGATGGGTGCTGCAAGTCGGTAAAAACATCTTCCTGGTAAGGGACTGCACGCGTCTGACTTACCATGAGGTGGCCCCTGAGAACCAAGGGGACGATCTCAGTCTCGGGGTGGGGGGGGGTTTAGCCGTAATCGTCACAGGGCAGGTCGCCCCTCTTCCTCCTGCTGTGCGAGAGCCCGTTCTGACCGTAGTTTTTGGGGCAGAACACCCGGTACAGGCAGAAGAGCAGGAGGACCAGGATAATGCCCGAGGCCAGACCCAGAGCAGCCACTCTGGTGGGAGAGACAAAGAGACACAAAAAGAAGGTGAGAGAAAAGGTCCAATGACGGAGTTTGGATAATATTGTGAAAGTATTATATACATTGCCGGTCTACGCTTTCCAGCTGCAAAAGATTTCCAAGCTACAGTCACTCAAGGATTTTTTTAAGGAGGAAATGTCAATTCTGACAAGATTTTCAGCCTTTTCGGTAAGAAAAACAGCGAGGACTTTTTTACTTGTAAAGAGTGACATCCTGGTGCCCGTGAAGCTTGGACGAGGCTCGGTCAGGCTGAGCATCAGCATCCAGCTTCCCGCCGCTCGACGCCAAGAAGGGGTGGTAGCGGTTTGCCTCCTGGGGGTGCCGCACCTCTAAGGCCTCCTGGGGGTTCAGGTACAGCGTGACAGGGATGGCCGGAAGGATGCTGATGTATCTGAAGGGACAGAAAGATGAGAGGAGCTGAGGAACAACAAACACAATAACACACAACAATCCTAAGAGGTAACGTAGATCCTCTTCTCGCTAGCAGCCCCGGTAGGTCTCAGCATGGATTTTTGGCAGTTTTAGGTACTCAGAGACCTCCTCTGAAATATTTTTCTCCAAAGAGATTTCCCAGGTCTTAACCTGTAACTGCAGGAGAGGTTAAGAGCCACCAGTGGAATGAACTTGTGATGAGATCAAACGGATCCCACAGATTTAAGCAAGGGTATAATGATCTGCTCCAGCTCTGTAGGCCAGAAGATCTCACCAGCACAGGTGTCTCGATTCCTCACACTTGCAAATGATCACATGTTGTTTTACTAAACGCTTTGCCTCCGGGGTAAACGAAGACAACAAGTAATACACTCTGAAGCACAGAAAAGACCACAACCCTGTTCTCAGACAGTTTGGTACCTCTGCA